CATGTACTCCATTCTTGTTTAATGTTTTCCTTATTGTAGATGTGTCAACAAAAATGTTAGCATGTGCCAGAGATTTCTGTAGGTCTTTAGCTGACACTCTGGGATTCTTCTGTACCTCATGCAGCATTCTGCGCTGTGCTCTTGCAGTCATTTTTACAGGACGACCCCACCTAGGGAGAGTAGCAACAGTGCTAAACTTTCTCCATTTGTAGACAGTCTGTCTTACCATGGACACATGAACATCAAGGCTTTTGGAAATACTTTTGCAACCCTTTCCAGCTTCATGCAAGTCAACAATTCTTGATCGTAGGTCTTCTGAGAGCTCTTTTCTGGGAGGCATGGTTCACATCAGACAGTGCTTCTTGAAACCAGTAAACCCAAAACAGGTGTGTGTTTTTTAAGGGCAGGACAGCTGTCAGCAACACATCCAATATCATCACACTGATTGGAGTCAAGGTTGGCTCATTCCTGGCTCCAATTAGTTCTGGGAGAAGTCATTAAGCTAGGGCCTCACATACTTTTTCCTCCCTGCACTGTGAATGTTTACATGTTATGTGCAATTAAACCATGGCAACATCTAATGTTTGTGTAGTATTATGTTCAGCAGACTGTGTTCTTCTATTGTTGTGACTTAGATGACGTTCAGAGCACATTTTATGCCCAATTCATGCAAAACTCCACGTAATCCCAAGGGGTTCACATACTTTTTCTTGCAACTGTATAGGGCCACTGTGTGTATGTTGGCCTTTATGAAGCAATTTATTAAAAATCTACAAACATGTATTGCAGTCTTAAAGATACACTTTAGTCAAAAATCTAAAATAAAGCTATTCGTATTACATATAGGTAAAAATAAAATAAGGTTTTTACAATCAATCATTTAAATACTTGGAAATCCAGTCCAATACTCCCATCATTTAGTTCCCATACCCCAAAGGGGTATAGATACCTCCTTTAAGGGCTTTGCTCTACAGGTCCGTAAGACCCGAGCTAGTAACTCTTTATGTTCACTCAAGCAAATATAGGCCAGGTATGAGCATTGACGGCACAGAGGAGCGAAAAAACCTTCAGGTAATCCCCTCAGTGCTTGCTCCAGTATCTACATGTCACCTTTGATATGATTTATCGCTGCTTATACTGTAATTGTCCAAAATTAGGGAAGTGACAACTGCTGCACAAATGTAATTATGCCAACATAATAACATATGCTTTTCAGGTAGCCTATGAGCTCACACTGACCTATATTGTTTCCCTTTGATCTTGCTCAGTCAGTTCATCTAATTAATTTTCCTGTGTTCTTTCACTTATGTTTTCCAAATAAAAAGTTGCTCCTGTCCTAAGAGAACGCCTTCATCTTAATTTCCAAATGTATTTCCAGCTGTGCCTAGTAGCAGAATTTTAGGTCGTGCTTGGTGAGTCACCCTTCAAATGTCATAGAGTCTTTAAATGTTATTGCTGAGAGAACAGTGCTTTGGTGCATTGCTAGAGGTATTACAGGAGGCTTATTGGATGCTGGTGCCTTCTGTTCAGTTTTTATATGCCAGAAATGTAACACAACTGTAAAAATAACCATAAATATTATATATAATTTATATATGCTACAGGCACATTAAAATGATTAGGACCATGCCAGATAATACCCAGACAATAGGATTTTATCATTTTATCATTTCAATGATTCTTCTTACCCTGACACTTAGGGGTTGATGTACTAAAACTGGAGAGTGTGAAATCTGGTGCATTTGTGCATGGAAGCCAAACAGCTTCTAACGTCAGCTTGTTCAATCAAGCTTTGACAAGAAAACCTGGAAGCTGATGGTTTCTATGTAGAGCTGCAACCCCTTAGCCTTCTCCCCGCTGGAACCCTAACACTTAACCTAAACCTCCAAAATGAACCTTTGACTCCTAAACTGTCCCCTAATTCCCTGAACCATAATCCTAACACTTATTTTTTAAACTAATCCTTAAAATTAATTCTAAGGTTATAACCTGAAATTAACAGTGAGGGAGACATGGTTATTTTGCCCATTAATGTCAAAGTGCCATCTGATAGCCCATGCTCCTCAAGGATGAGGTGCCCATCCTCCACAAACAATGTACATTCATCTTCACTCAACTCAACAAAATTAATTCTTATGCACACAGGCGTATTGGGACATATAATGTAAAATACAATCATATATCGGAACCCTGGAGGAATACAGCGGCGTGCACAAATTAATTACAGGATACAGCTGTATGAGGGTATATGCAGCTCTGAAGGTAAACATGCATATGGGTACAGATAAAATTCAAGAAAAAAAAAACTTTGCACTCAGTGCAATCAAATCAATAAATGTACAGGGCAGATGCACTCTAACCATCAGAACACTGTACTAGACAAAAACAATCTAAAAATATATATAAGGGGAAGTATCTCTTTAAATACAAGTCAGTACATTATAAAAGCAATGTAAAAATGTGCACAAACTCCAGTGCCAATATAATAAAAAAAATGTGCTTAAAACACACAAAACTGAAAAAAATGGTGAAACACACCCAGCATTAAATAAATGTCCTTAAAGTGAACAAGTGCTGTAATCACTTCACTCCAATGACAAAGTTCTGACTGCGCCGACCCCCATCGACAGGTGTACACACTCCTTACCAGAAAGGATGACCTCTAGGTTATAGGAAGTCATAAGCACCTGTATGCCAAAAGGGATCCGAGTAACTTCAGCCAGCAAGCTTTAAATCATAGCTCTTAAATAAATATTTCTTCCAAATGATAAGTAGCCACGAATGGAAAAACAATGAAGCAAATCACAATAGTGCAGTATCACTGAAAATATACACACAAAAAGGAATCAGAAAACAGCATGGAAGCCTCGCTGCACTCAGTCAGCGGGTGTGATAATGTCACCACTAGTTCTGGCCAACACGTTTTGTCGTAAAGGATGTCATCAGGGGACCTTATGTGCTATGTGTACTATGTGTATGCTCTGAATGTAGACCTGGATATGGTTGGACATGCAGGGTCCCCAAAAGGGGGCTGAGCTGGTCTTCTTATACCAAGCCGGGACCCCATCTGTTTAGTAGGTTGTCCTGGGACAGAGAGGGGACTCTTTAAATCTCTTTGGGAAATGCACAGTAATCCCATAGGCCATGTTCCCCACCAATTGAAAAAAAGTTTCGTAGGCTCCATCAGTTCAGCAGCAGGGGCCAGAGGGTACTATTTACTTATTTTCGATTGCAGGCAGAGTAATACTCCAGGGCATGGTTCCCAACTAAAATTCTTTAAAGTTTTGGCCTCTTCATTATCAATCCATCGGGGCAGACCGGAACTTTAATTTAATTGTCGGGAGCCACAGCATGGAAGATTGCGCTGCCAGATCCTGAAAATGAGTAAATGGTCTCTTCTCTATCCCTGGCCCCTGCTGATTAACTGATGAGGCCCAGGGAACTTTTATTTAATAGCTGAAACTTGTGACTGGCAGTATTATTGTGCATGAAGGGTTTGGATTGTTCCTTTCTGGCTATAAGAAGCCCCACGATTTCTAATGGTGGTCCTGTTTATGCTTACAGTCTTTTCTTGTATTTCATTTGAACAGAAGGTTGTATGCACCATCTTGGCTCCTGGGCACTGAAATACGGCCATTTTTCATTAAATGCCCTAATATGCCCATGTGCATGAGCCCTTCAGTTAAGGATTTGCAGATTTTTAAGAAACGGGCTTCCAAAAGGTAAGAGAATACAGCTTCACTTTTCTCTGTGTTTATTATTTATCTGGGGTTACTTAACCCAACCTTTCCCCTAATCTGATCCCTAGCACTAAACGAACCTCTGCAGCACCATGCCTATATGCAGCACTTAACATACCGTAAATGCTATCAGTTCCCCACCATTACCTATGGAAAAATTTGTGCATATCCTAAAATGATGTAAGTTTACTGGTTAGGTTTTATCCTGAGCCCTTCTTTCGATAGCGACTAGATCTTACGGGAAATAGCTGAACAGAATCGTGCCTTTGACAGACCTTAGCTAGTTTCACTGAGAATCTTATTTATTTTCTTTTCCTGTGCTATTAAAAGATCTTTCATCAACCGGTGATCCACTCACATGATTACACCCAGCACAATGACACAAACCAACATCTATTTCCTACATGACCGAATTACCAGCGCTCGATAGAAGAGGCCCTCACACCCAGCGAAAGCCTCCTCACTCCTCAATTATGGTGGTTAATGATTTCCTTTCACTCATTCATCAAGCTTCTGCTTTCTTTTAATATGCTCTGACATCTCGCCTGTCTCAGGGAACAGCTGACGAGCCTATGCACTGGAAAAATATCTCACTTTTTGTGGTTTCCACAGTAAAACCTTTTTGTTGTTGTCCCTTGTTATACTTCTTGTCTACCCTGAGCACACCATATAATCACCTCATCTCTCAACGTCCAACCTTCCTCCAAGATCACTTGCGTTTTAAAGATGCTGTAAAGAACCTATTATTAATATAATGGTGTACTATGAAAAAAGAAACATCAAATGTATATTTATCTAAGAATATGGACAAGAAGACCTCTTAGCCACACACAAAGTGATCTGCTCGGTTGTGTACAGGTGACAGCTTTTCTATACAGGAGGCTTCCAGGCAAATTAATATGGAAAGCACTGAGCCAAGTACACAAGGGCGTTTTTTTTTAGTTATAATGTTTAAGCCTGAGAAGCAGAACATCGATCGGGTATTTGTTAAATGTTTAGTGAGCTACAGTACAGCTCATCCAAATGGCCAAATTCCAAAACTTGCATTGCTTGTTGGAACTTGGATAATGCTTAAACCGGCCTTTCCCAACCAGGGTTCTGTGGAACTCCAGGGTTCCTCCAGAGGTTGCTAGGTGTTCTTTTAGCAATAAGAAGTGTTGAATCTAAGATAAGTAACCACTGACATCATTATTTATGTGTAGGCTATGTAACTTAAGGAGTATGGGAAAACATTCTTCCCACTGACCACCAATGTAAAAAGCATTCTTCCTACTGACCACTAACGTAAGGAGCATTCTTCCCACTGATCACCAATGTAAGAAACATTCTTCCCATTGTCCACCAATGTAAGGAGCATTCTTCCCACTGATCACCAATGTAAGAAACATTCTTCCCATTGTCCATCAATGCAAGAAACATTCTTCCCATTGTCCACCAATATAAGGTGCTTTCTTCCCACTGATCACCAATGTAAGGGACATTCATCCCAATGACCACCAATATATATGGAGCATTCTTCCCACTGACAACCAATGTAAGGAGCATTCTTCCCACTGATCACCAATGTAAAGAATATTCATCCCACTGACCCCCAGTGTAAGGAACATTCTTCCCACTGACCACCAATGTAAGAAACATTCTTCCTGCTGACCACCAACGTAAAGGGCATATTCCCAATTTTTCTTTATTAAAAGTGTTGCAATCAATAAACATAAAATCCATATACAGAATATACATAAATAATTATATACAAATTTACACAAAAAATAAAATAAATATAGCAAAATCAGCTGTCAAACAAAAGATGGCTTTATAGCAAAAAGCAAAACTTTCATAAATTAACATGTCATTACTGGGGGAAAATAAATTTTCCTAAGACTCACATCACTACACCAGACCTCAAACCTGGGAGGTCAAGAAACAACCCACACCCATTATGTATGCAGCCCTTCTTCAAAAAGAAGATCTTTGAAAACCTATGCGAGTAAAAAGAACAGAATAAGAAAATGAGCCCCTCACCCAGAGATGGACAGTTTACCAAAAGCAGGTCTGATATTCCCTATGCCCTTATCCAGACCGCCTGAGACTCCCTGCCCTTCTCAAGACCCTGAATCTTCCCAACCTCACCCAGAATGTCGTGCACCTCAACAGGGAGGACTTTCTTCCGCAGGGTAATCTGACACCGTGCATGCTACATGAAGTAACGAACAACTATACTAACTAGAAAAAATGTATGCAAATAAAAATCCCACCGAGCTGGGAATGCCCCATACACCCACTCTGCATAACTCATGCGATAGAGAAAAGGGATGCCCAGAACCCTCCCCACCCTTTTATACACCGTAGTCCATAGACTCCACTTTACCAACACACTCCGCTCTAGGACAATCCTGATCATCCACAGGACGATGCTTCAGGTTCCCTCTCACATAAAGCCTTCCATGGAAAGTGAGCCAGGCTTGATCCCTAAACGTCAAAGGGATGCTCTTCAAATTAATTAAATGCAACCCCTCCCTTATTATGGAGCCTAGGCAATCCTTTAAAGGCCAGTGACACACTGAAAGCAGAAGCCAAAATCACCTCCTCCAGACGCTTCCTAGGAAAGGACCTGATATCCTCCACTGTCACCTGCCACTGCCAAAGTATTTTCAGACACGGGGGAACATAAGCCAGGAGCTTGCCATGTTGAAGTTTCAGACTTTTCACTGTCCCTCCATCTTCCCAGCAACACATAAAAGGCATAAACCAGGATTGAAAAATGCCACCTATGCCGGTGGGCCTCTGGTAACATATTACCAAGATTGTACTTTAAAAAGAACAAAGAAAAGAAAACTATCGGGTTGACCATTCCTAGGCCACCCTCCGGACAGGTAAGTTAAATTGCTTTTTATCAGGTTCAGCCTATTTCCCCATAACAGCTGGAAAAAACAGCTATAGTCCCTTGCATAGAAAGAATATGGGTAAGATACAGACGAAGCTGACATATACAAATATTGGGATCAGGTACATTTTGATCAAGTCAACCCTCTCCCTCCATCTTTTTCAGCTTGCTACTTTGGCATTGGCATCTACCAACCTGCTTTCCCAATTTTGATGACCATAGTCACAAGAACCAAATTTGATGCCCAACACTTTAATTTCCTGCTGGGGCTCTGGGAAGGCATCCAGAAGTTCGAAGCTTTCACCCTCCTCACCCATCCAGAAAACTTCACTCTTTACATGGTTGACTTTAGAGCCAGAAGCCTCCTTGTACTGCTCTATCACAGAGACCACCTCCTGTGCCTCCTCCGAGACAATAACAGACACATCATCAGCATTGGCCATGGCTTTCAAAAGTGGCATACCAGCAATGCCCAGAGGGACCCTGCACAATGATCCACCCTCTAGCCTTCTTACAAAGGGGTCGATTGCAAAAGCATATAGCAGGGGACTCAAGGAACATCCCTGCTGCACACCAGAGCCAACCTCAAAAGGACGTCCAACACAATCATTAACAAGTGGGAAGCTCTCAGCCCCTCTATATAATGTCAATCTATACTCCTCCCCTGCAGGCCATATCTACTAAGTAGCAACCACAGATAATTATGATTCACGCGATCAAAAGTTTTTGCCTGATCCAATGCCAGCAAGTACTTTCTCCATCCAGCAGCCCTGCATCACACCAAAGCCTCCCGGACAGCCAAAACTGCTGAAAAGGTACTTCTACCTTGAACCGAACAGCGCTGATGGCTGGACAACAAATCGCCTGCTACTGACAACAAGCACCAAAAAAGAATCTTTGCCAAGATCTTTCTATCAACATTGAGAAGACTGATGAGGCACCATTTCTCAATCATTGAGGGGTCTTTACCTTTTGACAGAAGAATCACAGTGGATTTTCTTATGGAGGGTGGGATAGCTGTTAAAAACCTCAGCTAAAAAAGGAGCCAGAATGGACTTAAAAACACTTGTAAAATTCAGCTGTCAATCCATCTGGCCCAAGCGATTTTTTGGTAGCCAGCTTGTCTATAGCATGAACTACCTCATCTGCTAAAATTGGTTCTGTCAAATTCATCAAAAGCAATGTACCATTTCCAAATCCTGGAGTAGAATCCAGAAAGCTTTCCATCTTGCTAAGGTCCTTTCTTCCCAGAAGGTCTGCATAATATGACCCAAAGATATCCAAGATACCTGATCTGGACTTCACCGGGGAACCCATACTGTCTTTCAGGCCAGTGACTTAGCTGCTATGCCTTGCTTGCAGTTTTGGTAAGAATCAAGCGAGTGATATTTCCCATAATCCCTCTCCAGAAGCAAGGAAGCATGCCGGTCATATTGACACTTCCTAAGAAGAGGCCTTACTTCAGAGATCTCCTCTGGATCTTCTCCATATGAGACAAGACGATCAAGCTTCCTCCCAAATGCTGGTAGACAATATACATACCAAGCTGCTGCTTCTTACTTATGGTCTTGAAAAGTCCATTCGCCCTTTGTTTCACAAGCTCAGACCACCCCGACTTACTACTGGCAAAAGTCCAGAACAGAAACTTGTGCCCAAATAAAATCCTCACAGGCTTGTCTTACCTCTACATCTTCCAGGAGAGCTGAATTCAGTTTCCAGACATCCCTTCCCCTGGATGGAGTGTCCAAGGCATTCAGAGTCACAGACAGCATACAGTGGTCAGAGAACTCCACCACCCTCAACTCAGGAGATGAGAAAGCAGAGGTCTCCTTTAAAAAAAACCTGTCTATCCTGCTCTGACTATTCCCTCTCTGAAATGTGAAACCCGTGCTGCCAGGGCAGTGCATAATGTGCACATCTACCAGGCCTGCTTGTCTAACCATATCTCTGAGAAAAACACTATCATAACCAAGCCTGTCTATGAAGCCTCTCCGGTCTTCAGGCCTAATTATGGGGTTAAAGTCACTTCCAAAGACAACCTGCTAGGACATAAAAAGGAAGGGCATGATCTTTGTGAGGAGGCATTTCCTGTCCCATTTTGACTGAGGTCCATAGATATTAATCAGGCACAGGTCCTGCCCCCTAATAGAGACATCAAAGACCATGCATCTCCCCATTTCTACCTCAATTACCTGCCGGTTCATTACCATATCGGTTTTTAAAAGCACCGTAGCTCAGCTGCAAGAGATCAAAAGGAGGGACCACATCTCCACTAGATGGACATCGGCATATGTATTAAGCCAGGTCTCTTGCAAAAATAAAATCTCAGCATCAAACTCACTAAGCAAAAATAAGGCCATTTCATGAGCTCTTGCAGATTTAATGCTGGTGTCATTAATGGTCGCCACCTTTAACAGAGCGGGAGTCCTTCCTTAACCTCTACCACATTCTCATTGCCCGAAACAGCTCTCTTCAGAGAGACAGGTTTTGGAGGTGGAGTAGGCGGAGAGGGAAAATCCGCTAAACCTGCCCCCCCAGCAGCTTCCACTACCCTGGATGATCTACGTACAGTAGCATTAGGAACAGGAGGGACTGACTCAGGGATGTCATTACTAGAGGAAACTGAACCTGACACAACAGATGAACAGACACAGGAGGGGCAACAACAGTTTCATCCCTAGCATCAGCTGCGTCATCTTCTTTATCCAGCCTCTGCAGCTCAGCCTCCAACCCTGGCAGGTTATGTTGTGCCTCCGGACACTGACTATATAGATGACCCAGCTTCTGGCACAAATTGCACCAAAATCTGGGTGCATTCTTTGGCCAAATGGCCTAAATCCTGGCACAGTGAGCATTTTTTGATGGTGCAAGACAATGCAAAGTGGAATTTCTCTCCACATATATTACAAACCTTAGACTGACCCTGATAGAAAATGGTCAGCCTATCCCTCCCCAGAATGGCTGAGCAGGGCAGGTGCTGAACCACATTGCCCAGCACTCTCAATTGCAGGGACACTGACCAGGCCCCTGTCTATATCCCATGTTCATCAAGGACCTTCCCCAGTGGGGTGATGACCTCGCCATATCGGCATAGCCACACTACTAAATCAGTCTCTGGTATTGATTTTGTTATGGACCAGGATCATCACCGATTTTATCAAAGGCTGCCTTGAAACCACATTTGGCACCAAATCTCTCCACTGCTTAAGTCCCCTGCACCTCCTATATCTCTCCCAAAAATATGCAGACCTTCAGGTTTTACAAACAATAAATCATATTCATAACTGCCAACTGGGCAGATCAAAGCAAAAACATCAGGGGCTTTAAACCCCATCTCCAAAATCAGCTCAGCCACCCTCCCCCTTACTGGTGGGGTTCCCTCTCCCTTCCACTGCACAACATTCCTCCTCTTGAACCCACGAACCATCCCACTACTAAACCTCCCCAAAATGTGACCATTAGAATTTCCAACATTCCCTCCACCCTCCTTGGTGAGACTCCACAAAACAGAAGCAAAGTTCCCCACATTCCTCCCAGCAGCAGAAACATGTGTGCTTGGATGCATCTGATACAAATTTAGCAGATACTGATTGTACAGATTTAAGATTGGATGGTGAATCCTCTCTCTGCTGAGCAGGGGGAGAAATGTAATTTTTACTCTTGTCAGCAACATTAACCCCTTCACCACCACCCACCACATCCATTGCTTTAACAGTATCACCATTCATAGTACTTGCTGACACATTCACATTCTTCACAGCAATATCCATACTCACTGCTGCAGTGATAGAAACTTCAGCTCCAGCTGTCATCTTCTCCTCCAGGACAAGTCTTTCAGCTGAGGAAGGTGCAGGCTGTTCAGACACCACAATAGGTGAAACATCACTGACAGAGGAAACATCCATGGCTGTTTGCTGTCCACATGGTGCACTGTGCTGCTCTCCTCCCCGCCATCATCATTAGCTCTGGAACACATGCAAATTCAGGTGAAGCAGACTCTTTGCAGGTGGCAACCATCTTGCCTGTAGAGGGACTTCTGGTCTCAGCAGGAACAGTAGCAGTAGTAACATCCATCTCTGGGGTGTTTGGTGCAGATCCATCCACATTCCTCAGATGGTCTGGAGAGATCTCTGTCAGGGATTTTCCCTCCACAGGGAGATTCCTCCACAGCAGAAACCTCAAAGGTGGTTGTTTTCAGAGCTTCTTCTCATCAGCAACACTCACCACAGCCAGTGGGGCAGACATGTTGGAAGCAGCCATGTTGGTGTACTGGGCTTTCACCACCAGTACTGGCTTTGCTGGTCTGTACCTCCTCTGTCCCTCCTCAGGGACTTTTGATGGATCATCAGAGAAGGCAAAGCTGTCTGTCCTCAGGGGTGACTCCATTTGCTGGATGAAGGCCAGGGTTCCATGCTCACTTTCAACCCCTGGCTGGTTGCCGCTGAGAACTCCACAGCCTGACATGGGGTGAGAGATGCCAAGGTAGATGGATCCGGATCATCTGTTACCTTAGGCTGCTGAACTCAGAACTCGCTGATGTCTGGCTGGCAAATCTCTTTTCATTAGCAAACTTCTCTGCAAAAGCTCCACTTCTTGCTTTCAGTTTTACAATAATAAAGATTGCTTCTTTACTTTTCTTCCATTTTCTGCAACTCTGGTTTCATGGCCAATTGATTCTTACTCCAGGTCTGGCAGTATTTAGCTCTGAAGGATATATGATCAGCCTTCAAAACTTTAAGGTTTTCCTCAGCTCTACCAATCGCCATAAAACAATCGATAATCCTATGTACATATCCACATCCTCACCAGGGCCTGGACCCACAGTCAGGTCCTCCACCTCCTACTCACTAGACCCTGTATTATCAGGGGGATCCCTCCCAGGGCCTCCCCCAGGATCAGGCATGTTTTCTGGGCCAAGCTAGCAGGCAAGGCCCAGGCTTGAAAATGCTCAGAGAGAGCTCCTTCAGTGTGTCCTCCTCCTTCTCCCACTGACCACCAATGTAAGAAACTTTCTTCCCACTGACCATCAATGTAAGGGACATTCTTCCCACTGACCACCAATGTGAGGGAGGTTCTTCCCACTGACCACCAATGTAAGAAATATTCTTCCCATTGTCCACCAATGTAAGGAGCATTCTTCCCACTGATCACCAATGTAAGGGGCATTCTTCCCACTGACCACCAATGTGAGGAGCATTCTTCCCACTGACCACCAATGTAAGAAATATTCTTCCCATTGTCCACCAATGTAAGGAGCATTCTTCCCACTGATCACCAACCTCCAGTGTGAGGACAAAGATTTAAAACCTGGTATCCAAAACCAAAAAAAATAAAATAAAAATTAAAAATAAATTAGTTTTGGTCTTTCTACAAATAAAAAGCTACAGATAAACACAGTATATTTCAAGCATTAAAAGGGTTCCATATTGATCTGTAGTGTGTTTCATTTTTTAGCTAAGTAGCATGACGTTAATTTAATACAGAACTAATCAGACTTTACAGATGTGAAGACAACTTGCACTCCATTATATGGTTATTATTTATTGGGTCATAGTAATTGGCGCTCTTAAGTTTTACATTCTTTTTCACACTTTATTTTTATAGCAATTAATATGTGTCATTTCCCATTACATTTGGTTGATAACAGTATTTGTTAAAACAGCAAACAAAAACAAGAAAAAAACCCTCGCAAAGTTGTAAAGTTATAATTTGAAGATGATTCACAGTTATTCACAGTGGGACTCCTGAGTCAAATTTTGTTTGTGTGCTTAAAATGGTTTTCGCGGTAGTTGAATCCTGGTGGAACTATACTCGCCTCCATACCAGTGATGCAGTGTCTGGGAACTCCCTGCTGGTTGCCTATACGTTCACCTGGTCTCCCTTTGGGTTCCAATCTTCGGCTATTTTGATTGGTTGGGTTGGGGTGACATTGCTCCAGTTCATGCACGGGTGTTTACTCATTTTGCCAGATGACGAAATAGTGCCAACAGGCAGGTAAGAATACTTTAAGGCCCGATTCACATCTATGCTGCTCTCTCCGTGCCACATTTGCATGGGCACGGCAGCCTATTAATTTGAATGGGCTGCAGTGTTTGCATTTCCTGCAGGGAAAAGGTCCCTACACCTTTTTAAAAAGTGGCCGCACAGAAATTGCATGGTGCATTTGAAACCATATGATTTCTATGTGAGGGAAACAGCACTCGCGTTTTTCAGTGTGTGGGGGTGCCATTAAGAGCTAATGCCACCCACAACCATTTTTCTGTGCAGCACGGCATTTTTTCTGCGGCTGTGGGAATGCATGTGATTTACATACCCTCCTACATCCACATATACACTATATTGCCAAAAGTATTGAGACACATGCCTTTACACGCACATAACTTTAATGGCATTCCAGTCTTAGTCCGTAGGGTTCAGTATTGAGTTGGCCCCGCCCTTTGCAGCTATAACAGCTTCAACTCTTCTGGGAAGGCCATCCACAAGGTTTAGGAGTGTGGCTATAATAATGTTTGACCATTCTTCCTGAAGCGCATTTGTGAGGTAAGGCACTGATGTTGGACGAGAAGGCCTGGCTCGCAGTCTCCGCTCTAATTTATCCCAAAAGTGTTCTATTGGGTTGAGGTCAGGACTCCAAGCAGGCCAGTGAAGTTCCTCCACCCCAAATTTGCTCATCCATGTCTTTGTGGACCTTTCTTTGTGCACTGGTGTGCAGTCATGTTGGAACAGGAAGGGGCCATCCCCAGACTGTCCCCACAAAGTTGGGAGCATGAAATTGTCCAAAATGTCTTGGTATGCTGACGCCTTAAGAGTTCCCTTCACTAGAACTAATGGACCAAGCTCAACCCCTAAAAAACAACCCCACACCATAATCCCCTTCTCCACCAAACTTTACACCTGGCACAATGCAAGTACCATCCTCCTGGCAACTGCCAAACCCAGACACGTCCATTGGAGAGAACACGTCTCCACTGCTCTAGAGTCTAGGAGTGGTGTGCTTTACACCACTGCATCCGACCCTTTGCATTGCACTTGGTGATGTAAGGCTTGGATGCAGTTGCTTGGCCATGGAAACCCATTTCATAAAGTTCTCTATGCACTGCTGTGCTAATCTGAAGGCCACATGAAGTTTGGAGGTCTTTAGCTATTGACTCTGCAGACAGTTGGCGACTTCTGCGCACTGTGCGCTTCAGCATGCACTGACCCCATTCTGTCATTTTACGTGGCCTACCACTTTGTGGTTGAGTTGCTGTTGTTCCCAGTTGCTTCCACTTTGTTATAATACTACTAACAGTTGACCGTGGAATATTTAGTAGTCATAAAATTTCACAGAAGGACTTATTGCACAGGTGGCAACTAGAGATGAGCGAATCGAACATGGCGAAGTGGAATTCGTTTCGAAGATTAGGAAAAATTCGATTCGCGCCGAATCCGAAAATTAGCAAACTTCGGATGCACGAATCGAATTTTCCCAAAAATGGCGGCGACATGTGTGGCAACGGAGCGGGGATCTCTGGGAAGGCGCGCAGACAAGGCGCGCTGACCCATAATGCATTCATTCATGACATGTGATCGCATTTAGCCAATCAGCAGCCAGCCAGCCAGCACTGTGTAATGGTGGAGCTATAAATTGCGGCCATCTTAGAATTCTCCATTAGCCTCCGGTCATTCAAGAGAGACAGACCTGTCTGTATTAGGGACAGAGTTAGGGCCACAGAGACTTTAGGGCCACAGAATCGTTACTTAGGGACACAAAATCATTACTTAGGGACACAGAATCGTTACTCAGGGACACAGAATTGTTACTCAGGGACACAGAATTGTTACTCAGGGACGCAATCGTTACTCAGGGACAGACACAGAATTGTTACTCAGGGACACAGAATTGTTACTGAGGGACACAGAATCGTTCAAGAGAGACAGACCTCTGTGTATTAGGGACAGAGTTAGGGCCAAAGAGACTTTAGGGCCACAGAATCGTTACTTAGGGACACAGAATCGTTACTTAGGGACACAGAATCGTTACTCAGGGACACAGAATTGTTACTCAGGGACACAGAATTGTTACTCAGGGACAGACACAGAATTGTTACTCAGGGACACAGAATCGTTACTCAGGGACACAGAATTGTTACTGAGGGACACAGAATCGTTACTCAGGGACACAGAATTGTTACTCAGGGACACAGAATTGTTACTCAGGGACAGACACAGAATTTACTGTTACTCAGGGACACAGAATTGTTACTCAGGGACACAGAATTGTTACTGAGGGACACAGAATCGTTACTCAGGGACACAGAATTGTTACTCAGGGACACAGAATTGTTACTCAGGGACACAGAATCGTTACTCAGGGACACAGAATCGTTACTGAGGGACACAGAATTGTTACTCAGGGACACAGAAGAATGTTACTCAGGGACACAGAATTGTTACTGAGGGACACAGAATTGTTACTGAAGGACACAGAATCGTTACTCAGGGACACAGAATCGTTACTCAGGGACACAGAATCGTTATTCAGGGACACAGAATCGTTACTGAGGGACACAGAATCGTTACTGAGGGACACAGAATCGTTACTGAGCGACACAGAATCGTTACTCAGGGACACAGAATCGTTACTGAGGGACACAGAATCGTTACTGAGGGACACAGAATCGTTACTCAGGGACACAGAATCGTTACTCAGGGACACAGAATCGTTACTGAGGGACACAGAATCGTTACTCAGGGACACAGAATCGTTACTCAGGGACACAGAATTGTTACTCAGGGACACAGAATTGTTACTCAGGGACACAGAATTGTTACTGAGGGACACAGAATCGTTACTGAGGGACACAGAATTGTTACTCAGGGACACAGAATTGTTACTCAGGGACACAGAATTGTTACTCAGGGACACAGAACTGTTACTGAGGGACACAGAATCGTTACTGAGGGACACAGAATCGTTACTGAGGGACACAGAACTGTTACTCAGGGACACAGAATTGTTACTCAGGGACACAGAATCGTTACTCAGGGACACAGAATCGTTACTCAGGGACACAGAATCGTTGAATTAAAGAGTATGTCAGGCAACACGCAGAGGAGTGGCAGAGGAGGCAATGTTTCAGGAGCGAGCAGACGTGGCAGCAGCATAGGAAGGGGTCGAGGCAGCACTAGTCGCAGCCAGAGGCCAGTGCTCCCGGTGTCATCCAGCGGTCGTGTCTCCACCGACAACCCTGCCGTCATCGATTGGTTGGCTTGGTCGTCTTCCTCTTCCCAGGTCACCTCTGACACCTACAGCCAACGGTCGGTGGGTACGTCAGACACAACCGTTAGTTGGCATGGTCCGGGAGCAAGCCCACTGAAATCACGTGTCCTCTACCTGCCCCTGTCCTTTGGTGTTCCCTCACCAAGCGAAGTATCGCATGCTGTGGGCTCAGCCCCACTGTACAGTGAGGAAGAGCTAACAGAGGGAGGTCAGGAACGGGGGGAGACATCCGCCTCTTCAGCAGCCAGGCGAAGAAGTACTGGCAAGGAGAGTGGCTCGGTAGCCGGTCTAGAGACAGGTCTGTCTCCTGACCCACACGCAGCCGAGGGGGCTAGTAGTGAGGCGGAGACCCTAATTGATGATGATGAGGCTGATCGCACTTGGCAGCCTCGTCGTCATCTGCCAGGCCCGTAATCTGCCATGGGCCCCCGTACCGACTCCTCATGCTGCTGCCAGGCCCGTAATCTGTCATGGGCCCCTGTACCGCCTCCTCATGCTGCTGCCAGGTCCAGAATGTGTCATGGGTCCCTGTACGGCCTCCCATTGCTGCTGTCTCCATCGCCACACTCTGCCATGTGCCACTTTCAGGTCTCCTCACACTGCTGGTGGGTTCCATTTTGTCATAGGGTGCTGTATGGCCTCCCATTGCTGCTGCCAGGCCCGTAATCTGCCATGGGCCCCCGTACCGACTCCTCATGCTGCTGCCAGGCCCGTAATCTGTCATGGGCCCCTGTACCGCCTCCTCATGCTGCTGCCAGGTCCAGAGTGTGTCATGGGTCCCTGTACGGCCTCCCATTGCTGCTGTCTCCATCGCCACACTCTGCCATGTGCCACTTTCAGGTCTCCTCACACTGCTGGTGGGTTCCATTTTGTCATAGGGTGCTGGCAGATTACGGGCCTCCCATTGCTGCTACCAGGCCCGTAATCTGCCATGGGCCCCCGTACCGACTCCTCATGCTGCTGCCAGGCCCGTAATCTGTCATGGGCCCCTGTACCGCCTCCTCATGCTGCTGCCAGGTCCAGAGTGTGTCATGGGTCCCTGTACGGCCTCCCATTGCTGCTGTCTCCATCGCCACACTCTGCCATGTGCCACTTTCAGGTCTCCTCACACTGCTGGTGGGTTCCATTTTGTCATAGGGTGCTGGCAGATTACGGGCCTCCCATTGCTGCTGCCAGGCCCGTAATCTGCCATGGGCCCCCGTACCGACTCCTCATGCTGCTGCCAGGGCCTGTAATCTGTCATGGGCCCCTGTACCGCCTCCTCATGCTGCTGCTGCCAGGTCCAGAGTGTGTCATGGGTCCCTGTACGGCCTCCCATGCTGCTGCCAGGCCCGTAATCTGCCATGGGCCCCCGTACCGACTCCTCATGCTGCTGCCAGGCCCGTAATCTGTCATGGGCCCCTGTACCGCCTCCTCATGCTGCTGCCAGGTCCAGAGTGTGTCATGGGTCCCTGTACGGCCTCCCATTGCTGCTGTCTCCATCGCCACACTCTGCCATGTGCCACTTTCAGGTCTCCTCACACTGCTGGTGGGTTCCATTTTGTCATAGGGTGCTGTATGGCCTCCCATTGCTGCTGCCAGGCCCGTAATCTGCCATGGGCCCCCGTACCGACTCCTCATGCTGCTGCCAGGCCCGTAATCTGTCATGGGCCCCTGTACCGCCTCCTCATGCTGCTGCCAGGTCCAGAGTGTGTCATGGGTCCCTGTACGGCCTCCCATTGCTGCTGTCTCCATCGCCACACTCTGCCATGTGCCACTTTCAGGTCTCCTCACACTGCTGGTGGGTTCCATTTTTTTCATAGGGTGCTGTATGGCCTCCCATTGCTGCTGCCTCCACCGCCACACTGTGGCTCCACACTCTGGTTTTGGCCCCGTGACTGCCTAAATGAGTGAAGTGTGCGGTGATTCTAAGATCGAGGCACTCATCTGCATGTCATACTGACTGACAGTATTATTTCTCTTCCCCAGCAGACTCCAAGGGCATTTAAATTAAAGGTACAGTGTTCTGCACTAATATAAAGGCTCTCTGAAGCCTAGAAACACCCTTTTTATATGTTAAATTTGCAGCGAATATATTCGACTCGAATCGAATTTATTCCGCGAATTCGCCGAATCTAATTTTTGAATAATTCGCTCATCTCCAGTGGCAACCTATCACGGTACCACGCTTGAATTCCCTGAGATCTTGACAGCAACCCCATTCTTTCACAAATGTTTGTAGAAGCAGTCTGCATGCCTAGGTGCTTGATTGTATACACCTGTGGCCATGGAGGTGATTGGAACTCCGGAATCCAATGATTTGGAGAGGTGTCCCAATACTTTTGGCAATATAGTGTATGTGAACATAGCCTAATGTAGAGACATATGTTTCTTCTGTAATAATAAGCCTTCCTGGTAACAAACTTCCACTTTAATGCAGCTAGGTATTCATTAAAGAGGAACTTCAGTCCTTTTTACCTTAGTTTCCACCCCTTATGCTGCCATATTTGTACATCTGCTGTCTGTGCAGAGGTAGCACTCTGCCCAACCTTTGGGTGCCAGGTGAATTACCGCGCATGCACAGATGCACTGCTATGTAAGGCTACTTTCACACAAAGACATATGCATTTTTGCCTCATTTCTGGTGCATTTTGCACCTGTGAAACGACATGTGACAAAAAAAAAAATGCATTAAAAAACGCAACCGTGCATTTTTGACACATTTTCCATTCATTTCAATGGAATGGCGTCTCTAGTGCGTGTTTTTTTTTTACAGCACCTAAAAAATGCAGCTTGCAGGAGTTTGAAAAACGCAACAAACCCACAACTGACCAGTGTGAAGAGTTCAATAATATTTAATGGTCAACCATTTTTATTCCATTTTTTTTTTAATGCAAAAACGGAAGAAAAACTAAGCAGTGTGAAAGCAGCCCAAGACTCCAATAGCGGTGTGTCTTCATGCATAAGTGGGGACTGGCCATGGCTGTGCAAATGTGCTACAGGGCTGTACCCTGGAAACTCTGCGGCACATTTGCACATGCTCAGAATACGCAGGGGAGTGGCAGTGAACTTCATTCTCACCTCAGTGCATTGCAGTACACACACACACAAATATTCATATTCAAGTGTGGAAGATTTCCCCTCTAATCCTGTTCTTGTGACAACCTGAAATTTACACTTTCACTCTCAGTGATAAATGGTACACAGGACAAACAGAGAGGGTGAATCTTCCTAACAGGCAGCGCTGATAAGTGTATTCTGACAGTAGGGAAGTCTCCCCACCGTCAGAATATAATAGCACAGAGGGAAGGATTCCCCCATCCACATCGAGTGTGTAAAGAGGGGAATCAAGTAATTTGTTTCTCATTCAACCAGTAGCCTAATGACTAATGTATGGGCTGCCTTACACTGTGAACTTTCTGCGTGGGAGTATACCTAATGGGTGTCTCTTAATTGCTTTAAGCAAGGATTATCCTCAGACCTTACATCATGCTGCCATCATTGACCTTACCACACCTTTTTGCTTTCCTAGTGTTACTGTTTTTTTTTTAGATCTATAGGAAAACAAAACAATACAATGATTATCCCTGCTATTAATCACACCCAATTTTAGATTTCGTTGCACTCGCATAATCAATCAACTGACCACCTGTACACTGGCTGGTAACTGCCACTGCAGCATATCAGTTGTACTCCTTGTACAATTTCAGTTTAGTGTGCCAGGCATTAGATAACTTAGCTTCCAGAAAAGGGGCAATGGGGCTGGAGAGTGCAAAATCAGGTGCAGCTCTGCATAGAAACCAATCATCTTCTACGTTTTGTCAAAATTGTGAACAAGCTGAAGTTAGAAGCCAATTGGCTACCATGCATAGCCGCACCAGATTCTGAGAGCTGAAGTTTTAGTAAATCTCCCCCAGTGTGTCTATGGACATTCTTTTTTTTATTACAGGTATTTTTATAGTCCCCAAATGTATGCTTTATATCAGCCTGTGGCCCTTGGAGCCCTTGAACTCAAACCAGGGAAGCGTACTTCTATTATATCCTGCGGTCCCATTGCTGTAGCATCAGGGGAGGCAATAGCAACCCAGACCCAATGCATTTTACACTTGGACAGGAGAGGGGGGGTACACATACAGGAACCACTCCTTTCCATTTTCCTTCTGAAACCTCTGAAATTTGGCTTCTCTTCCTCTCCGTCTTGGCGGCAGTCAGTGGCTGCAGGAGGAAAATGTTTATTATGCTATTCAAAATAGAAAAATTCTAAATTATGAACCATTCGTCTCACCATGGCCCGCGACCGGTTACCAGATCACTTAAGTGACCCTCACTCTTCAAAAAGATTGAGTATCCCTGCTTTACATACAGTGGGTATAGAAAAGAATCATCCTGTTTAACCCCTCGCCTACAGGGCACTTATACCCCCTTCCTGCCCAGGCCAATTTCCAGCTTTCAGCGCTGTCACACTTTGAGTGACAATTGCGCGGTCATGCAACACTGTACCCATATGAAATTTGTATAATTTTTTTGTGACAGATAGAGCTTTATTTGGGTGGTATTTAATCACCTCTGGGTTTTTTATTTTTTCTTAAACAAACCAAAAACCACTGAAAATTTTGAAAAACAAAAGTTTTTTTCTTAGTTTTTGTTATAAAATGTTGTAAATAAGTGATTTTCCTCCTTCACTGATGTGCACTAATGATGCTGCACTGATGGGCACTGATAGGCTGCACTGATGGATACTGATAGGTAGCACTGATGGGCACTGATGAGGAGGCACTGGTAGGTGGCACTGATGGGCATTGACAGGCATCATTGATGGGCACTGAAAGGCAGCACTCATATATAGCACTGATAGGCGGCACTGATAGGCGGCACTGACTGACACTGTTAGGTGGCACTGACTGGCACTGTTAGGCGGCACTGATAGGCAGCACTGACAGGCACTGACAGGCGGCACTGATGCACACTGATAGGTGGCACTGACTGGCATTGATAGGTGGCACTGACTGGAGCCGCACATGCGCGGTTAGAATGGGAGGACCTCATATGTCCTCCCAGAACAAGAGAACCGCCTTTCGCACATCATTGTACCATATGACTGGCGGCGGGCAGGTAAAATAATCACATTTTGTTGCTTTGCAGCCTGAAATTAGGACAGACAGTTTTTGTTTTATCCAGCCGCATTTACTTATTATTGTATTTAAGTGCAACTTATAATATCTAAGTGAAAGATAGAACACCAACATGTCAGAAAAAAGAATTCAAGAACAGAATCGATAAGTTGGAAAAAGGATCACCCCCCCCCCCCCCCCCCCCCGTCCCCGATCTGATCAGCTATGGTCATTTTGATTAGCTGAGCATGAAAAGAGCTTTCCTGGAACATTTCAGTCCCAGATAGTGCAACTAAAGCAAACAAATTGAACGTGGCAAGTCACTGTCAAAAGATCTCAGGGATAAAGTTGTGGACAGGCATATGTCAGAAGATGTATAAAAAAAAAATCATAAGGCTTTATCAATGCCTAGAAGCATATTAAGAAGTGGAAGGTATTTGGTACAACACAAACCCTCCCTGGATCAGGATATTGCTCCAAACTGGATGAAAAAGCCAGGAGGAAACAGGTCAGAGAGGCGACCAAGAAGCCTACAGCAACTCTAAAGTAGTTGCAGGAATTTATGACTAAGAGTGGTCACTGTGTGCATGTGACAACAATATCACAAATTCTCCACAAATGTGCTTGTATGGGAGGGATGCAAGAAAATAGCTGCTCCTGAAGAAAGGCCACATGCAGACCACAGGGAATAAGGCATTATGGTCAGATGAGACTAAAATTTAATTATTTAGCTTCAAACACTAAACAATATGTCTGGCGGAAATCCAATACAGCTCAGTATTCCTGCAGTAAAGCATGGAGGAGGGAATATCCTGTTATGGGGGGGGTTTATCTGCAGCAGAGACTGGGGCACTTGTCAGGATAGAAGGAAAAATG